TGGTGTTTGATAGTTGAGGGATATGGGTTTGGGAGATGGAGCGTAAATGCAATGGTGTTTTATACGTGGGCTTGAGGGCTGCGTTAGCTTTTCCGCCTGCCGACCTCGGTATTAAGTTGATAAGCTTTCCGGGCACCGTGGAGAGGCATCTCGTTTAAAACGTTCAAAGCTGTGGTGTTGGTCTTTTGAGTCCTGAGTGATCTTCACATCGATGCCTGGGTCCGGCTCAAACTTCGGGGCTGCGGGCTGCAGGGATAACTAACGTAGCAACTCTAAGAGTCGACGATAGCCTTCTGAACAATTCAACGAACCGGGAGGATATTCGTGGTATAGACAATCGAATGTGAGCTCTGCGTGTGTGAACATCAACATTGTCGTCCAAGAGCGAAGTCGCTGGCTCACGACCCCGGCCTCGGCCTGGCGACCAAATCCTTCCCCATTCGGAATAGCGCAGGGCTGGCGCAGTCCCATGCATCGCTGACTGCGGGCGGAGAGAGACATCAACGAACGAACGCACTCAAGCCCCCAAATACACCTCCACGTACGACGCGCTGTGCATACAGCTCTACACTTCGCCCCTCTTCACCCGTCACTCGGCGGCATCACCTGCTTTGCCCCTCCACCCTCGACCACGCCCCTCCGTCAAGATCTGCTGCCAGCAGACCCATTGACCGCCCGGCGCTGTATATCCTCACGGCCGTGTCGACCCCACGGATATCCCCCAGGCCACTGCGCGCTGGCAAAGCCCGACCCGATTACATTTTCCCCCGCTCTCTCAGCTCTCTCAAGAACACGCCTGCTCGCCACAATCTCCAAGATCTTGCCGGCAGCTGCAGCCTACGCAGACACCCGCTCTCCGAGACTGCCCCCCGGAAGCTACTCTCCACCGCCCGGCTCGCGAGATGCCGTGCTTTCAGGGCCTCGCTGTGAGCATTCACACGCCTGACGGGCCGCTGCCAGAGTACTCGATCCAGAGGCAGTCCCGCCTTCACCGCATCGCAAGCTACATTCCCGTCCCGCCGGCCAAGGTCCCTGCGGGGTCCACGTCCAACAAGCCCGAGCAGTCTACCTTTGCCATATCAATCACTCTCCTCACACCCGGTCTCAATGTCCCGTACTCGACCCCGCGCCCCACGCCCGAAGATCCTTACCCACGCGCAAAGATTGTCGGCGGCCTGCCGGGGCTCGGCGCTGAGCGCGGAAAGTATGGTCCTGTGATTGGGCCTTACGTTCCCCTCACGGCCTCGCCGAACGAAACGGTTGCCGCCTACATCTACTTTGACGGTCGACCAAAGGAGGAGGTTGCTACATTGCTGCGTCGGGGCGAGGAGACTTGGGTGAACTCGCGCTGGGTTAGCGTGCCCGAGTCGGAGGGAGGAGGTCTTGCTGAGCGGGAGTTCCTGTTCCGTGAGGTTGGACTGGAGCGCTGGCTGAACGGACTCGACCTCGAAGGCAAGGATGTCGCTGCCAGACTGGAACGGAGAAAACAGAGGCTGGAGAAGAAGCGCAGGAAGAAGCGCGAGATGAAGGGAAGTGACGATGACGATGAGGTGGAAATGTTGACAAAGCCCATCGACCGTAACGGCGTGCTTCGTTATGGCGAGAACAAGAATGCCCCGGTCGAGAGCTTATCCGGGGATGAGGGCCTGTTTACATCGGACTCTGATTCGGAGGACGAGCCGCCGACCCCCGAAGCCGCTGGCCAGATCAAGGTCGCGCTCTTCCGAGTCCTGGCATCGGGTGAGATCAAGAAGGGAGAGTATTCACCTCAGTTCGACGCGCACGACGACGACGACGGATCGGCTCAGAATGGCGAATCGAGCAACGGAGATGCGGACGTCGACCACACTACCAGCTTCGCCAAGCCGAAGTCCTTGGACCCGAAGTCTATCAGCACGCAGACAGTCACAGGCATCGACCCCCCGGATAAGCCCTACGCCGTCTTTACTTTCTTCTACCGCGGCGAGAGTAAGTATCTGATGGTGGGCTTCCGCTACTTGTGCTAATGTGATACAGAGCAACTCCGCAAAATGGGCATCCTGGCCTCTGAAAACACCGTCCCCCAGACGCCTGTGGCCGCGAAGCGTAAATCGCAAGGCCTTGACTTCAGCAGCATCAAGCCGCTTACCAATAGCGGCGTCAAGAACTTCGTCGGCTACCGCGATCCCTCGGCCACACCAGCCAAAGCCCGCAAAGGCAAGGACGGCGAGAAGAACTTCGACGCCATGGACAGCGACGCGGACGATGATGACGATGCTAACGTAGGCGCCGCCGACGACAACTATGAGGTTGCGGACGTCAAGGCAGAGACGGGCATGTTGTCCCCCGAAGACGCGATGCGCCAAGGAGAGCTGGCCGATGGCATGCGTAAGATCAAGGTAATGAAGACTTCTATCCCCCCCTATCAATTTTCTAAACTAGGCACAGTTAAAAAGACAACACTCCGCCGACCCCGTCACCGCGTCCGGGACATCCAACGCCACAACCGCCTCCGGCTCCGGTACCCCTACCTCGACCACCGGCGCAGGTCCGTCGATCAAGCTCGAGCCAGGCACGTCGACGACTAACGCCCTCGCCGCTTCGCTCGGAGACGTTGAGCCTGCTGCGCTTGTCGGCAGCCCGTTCAAGAAGCAGAGGAACAGCCTTCCGGGCTTTGGGGGCGCTGATGATGACGCGAGGCATGCACTTAGTTTGCCGCCGAGTGCGTCGAACTCAGCCGGAGCGCAGCAGGGGAGGAGTATGAGTGAGAGTGGGCTTAAGCAGGAGAGGGAGGTCGAGGTCAAGAATGAGCATCATATGAGTGAGGATGAGGAGCTGTGAGGTGTTGCTTATTGATGGAGACAGTATCAGGGGAAGATGCCTTGGTGGCTGGAAGGAGGGGCATTGATGCCAGATGGATGCAGCTTGTCTGTGAAGCAGCTGCGATAAGGGAGTCATGGACTGCAGGACCTCATTCCTCGACATCCGTCACACCACCCGTCCAGCTGCCTCTCGTTCAGAAACCTACAAACAACAAACTCAAACTCAAACTCAAATACGTCTACCCCCCAACAACATCAAACTGGCGCAACATGGAGTCACGAACGGCAAGCAAACTCACTCTGTTCACTTGTCCGTCGGGGTTCTACTTTAAGTACAACCCCCACCACCTGCTCTTCTCCGTCTCGTCTTCGTCTTTACAGACGAGCAGGCACACTCCCCCAATGCGTTCTCTTAAATCCCAATATACCGACGTCATGAAAACCAACAATGATCGACTGGAAAACGAGGAAGCTTTATATCGAATCGAAACCCATCGGCGACTGCAGTGTGACTGAGGCACTATATGGCCAGAATCGAAGCTATCATCAACAAGCAAGGCGTTCTCTCATTCTCGTTCTCCTTTCTACCTCCTAGGAGTCTGGCGACAAGGCAAGGGCAGTATATAGAAGGTCTGACGGGTTGCTGGGTTGTTGGGTCGGCGGTTTCTTGCGTGTACTGATGCTGCTGCTTGCTTCATCTGCGTCTACTCTGCGTCTATATCTGCCTGGGTCTGCTTCCAAGTCTGCCTAGACCCTGACTCTGAGCGGCTCAAGTCTTATATCTGCGGACTGCATGGGAGGCGGAGGGGGGGTGCTTTTTTGCTTGTCTTGCTACCAGTAGCTAGTTTCTGGTCTTTGACGACGCCCGAGAATACCCAAGGAATCTTTTTGCGTGCGCGTGTTCTGCGGCATGTTATCATGCTCCTTCGTAGGAGATCCAAGTGAAGTACCTCGGTATTTGTGTGCGTTTAAGCCCATGATGATGTACATCCGCTCCGGTCAAGGTTCTCGCAAAAGTAGATCTGGGCATCTAGAAAGCCTGCTCTTTACAGTCTCCTCTTCCTTGTTGCTTCACTTCTCAACTCGGCGGTTACAGTGCAGATCGCCCAAGTGCCCTCACTACTGGATTCTCCGTCCTCGCTGACTAGTCACGCTCGAGATTCTAGGATACACCGTATCCTGCCTTCCGCAGTGCTACTGTGGATTTAAAGATGATGCCCTGTTTACATCTCCAAACTCAATCAAGAAGACGACGACTGACGATGATCCCCAGAATATGATACAACAGCGATAATCGGGACCTCCCCAGGACCTGTATGACCACAATCCGCACGGAGCAAAACCGCTTACTGAAGAGTTCGCGGAGTCCAGGAAGAAAGATGGGTTGACGCCCGCCGTGTGTAGAAAAAGCGAGGGCGTAGCTACCGTAGTATTATTTTTTCAAGGAAAAAGGCGCCTGAGATGTTTTTTTTTTCTGATGGAGTCAATCATCGTGACATCCCATCGATTTCTCAACCCGTAGTCGAGAGAAGAACTGTCCAAACTCCAGCCGTTCTTCTTGCTGCTCTTTCTTTCTTTCTTTCTTTCTCCTCGTCCGTCTCGTCCCTCGGCGCCAACAAACAAAACTCAAAGGCCCCAAAGCAAGAATGTGAACGCAGAACTTTTGTCTCCTGCGCTACTCATGCGTCTTCGATAGTAATAATACCCACCTCTATCTTTCTAAAGCCAGCCAAGAAAACCAGCTATACCGAGACAGGCAATACAATAGTCCTCAGTCTCATCATCACACCATCCTCAAAAGACCTATTCACGCATCCCGCACAAAGCAAGCAACAACGCAAGCCAGAAAACCCCGATGAAGTCCAAGCTAACTAGCTGGTGGAGGAAGCTGCGTACAATACTCCTCTACACAGCTGCGGCGTTGACGGCAGAAGAACGACGTCGCCGTTCGTGTTCGGCGCCTTCTAACGTTAAACAACAACCGCCCTCCCGCACCAACCCCGCCCGCCCCAGCGAACCGACCGAAGAAAAAAACACCGCCGTCATCGCCTAGCCGAAGCGCCTCTACAACTACCCGCCGAGGACGGCATCCAATCAATCACCCCTTCACCTCATCCCAATTCCCTCTTCCCCCTCCCGCCCTCCCGCCCTCCTGCCCTCTTATCATAATGCCCAACCCCAAAATCAATCTCATCCACAGGCACCATGGCCTAATGGTAAGGCGCTACTTTCCGGTGGTAGAGATTGAGGGTTCGAGTCCCTCTGGTGTCGGAACAACGTCCCTGTGTCAAACATTTCTTTTGCTCTTTTTGCCCCCCGCTTATCGCACTCACTCATGACACTCCTCACTCATGGCACTCGCTTGCGGTCCTTTTTTGCAGCCACCTGTGCTCCCCCCCCCACTTGTGGCATTTGTGGCATTTGTGGCCCCGCTCGCGATCCTTTTTTACCTCCACTCGCAGCCTCTTTCCGCGGCCTTACAATTTCCCCATTTCCAGCGTTCCCATGTGTGCGCCGAGTGGGTTTTATTTTGGCCGTTTGATTTCGACGTGTGGGGAGGAGATTTTTGGGGCGGGGCGGGGCGGAGCGGGACTTTTTTGCGCTGGGGGATGGGTGGATGGGGTGGGGTGGGATGGCATGGGGTGGGATGGCATGGGGTGGATGAGTCGCGGAGGCAGTTTGCACAGCGAGCGACGACGATGCGAAGTGTGGATTTGGGATGTATGAAACAGAAGCAGAAACAGAAGCGGAAGCAGAAGCAGAAGCAGGAGGGGGCTTGGAGATCAGTACTCGACCCTCGATACTCAACACCACACCAACGTAGCAGCGTCAAGGCACGTCAACCCAACCAATCCGTTACAGGCACAATCAAAGAGTCATCAATCCCAATCTGTCAAAGGGACGCTGTTCATTCCACGCCTAACGCTACGCTACGTGCGTGGAGACGGAAATGCGCGGAAAGCAAGCAAGAGCCAAAGGGGCCAAGCAGAGAGCCAAAGCATTCAAGACGCTTCATTTCCCTCCCATTCCCATCCGTCCGTCCGTCCGTCCGCAATTTTTTGGTCCTGATTTCATACATGGAAAAATCCGCTTTCCTTCGTACTGCTGCTGCCGATACAAGTACACATCCCCCGATTCCCCGGTCGTAAACTCATAGTCGCATGAAAAGAGAAGAGAGAGAAGGGGATAGAGTGGAAAGGGCGGGCGTCCTTGTCAATCCATCATCCCTTCACTTCCACTGTTCGCTTCATAGAACGTCTTCGAACAGGGGCATCGATTGGTCTGGTTGGGAGCTGACTAACTTACAACTCCTCCTTGACGCGGTCGGTAGCGCGCTGGTAAGCCTCGCTGGCAGCGTGTTTCGCCGTGCTCGCCTGCTCCGTCGCCGCATCCGAGTACGCGCTGCCAGACTTGCTCGCTGCGGACATGGCGCTGCTGGAAGAGCTGGCAGCGGACTTGCTCGCCTGGCTGGCCGCGCTCTGGGCCGACTTGGAAGCCACGGAAGCAGCGCTCGAGCCGGAAGCCGAAGCGTAAGAGGTGGCCGAGACGCCGCTGGCAGAGGCCTGCGAGGCGACGAGGCCGAGCTTGGACTTGATCCAGTCGACGTAGTAGCCGGCGGCGCCATAGGCCTGGTCAGCCTTCAGGGCGGCGTCGTCGGTGGCGCGGGCGTACTGGTTGCCGGCGGAGGAGGTTGCGGCGCCGTAGGCGGAGACAGCGGAGGCAGAAACATTGTCGCCGGTGAGACGAGCGCGGTGCTTGCGGGCGAGGGCGATGAGCTCGTCACGCTTGGAGCCTTGGGGAACCTTGATACCGTTCTTGTCGGCCCATTCCTTGATCTGGCTGTCAGACCAAGCGTCGAGGAGGGCGTCGGTCAGAGACTGCTGGGCACCGGCGGCGGAAGCGGAAGCAGAGGCGGAGGCTTGCTTCATCTGCTCGCTGGCGAGACGAGAGTTGCGGCGGACCGTGGCAATCAACTTGTCGCGAGTGCTGGGCTGAGGAGCAGGGTAGCCACGCTCGTCGAGCCAGGCCTTGAGGTCGGATTCAGACCAGCTCTCGTAAAGCCAGTTACCGGGGTAGGAAGCGGTCTCGCCAACCTTGTCGGCAACAGACTGGTAGTTTTCGCGGGTGGCCTTCAGAAGAGTGTCACGAGTACGGGGCTGAGGGCTGGGGATTCCATGGCGGTCGAGGAAAGCCTTGAGCTGAGAGTCGGTCCAGCTGCGTCATGTTAGTCTTGGAATGAGTTTGGATCGTCAGTCACATACCTGTCGAAAACCCAATCCTTGACGCTGTTGTAGGCATCGGAAGCCTGGTCCTCAGTCTCATACCAGTAAGCCTTGACCGACTCGATCAGGCTGTCCTTGTTGTTCTCGGCGCCCTTCTTCGCCTGCTGGCCCTTGGAGCCGAGGTAGGACTGGAGCTGGTTCGTGTCCCAGTCATTGTACGGCTGGGCGACCTTGGAGTTCCAGTTGTCCTTGACCAGGTTCTCCAGGTCCTTACGGTCTGCGGGGGTGGGGTAGAGGACGTTGTGGTCCGACAGCCACCTCTCGAGCTCGGTTTCGTGCCACTTGTTGTAGGCTGCGGTCGTCAGCATCAGTCGGCGACGAAGGGGAGTGATGTGTTGAGTGCGGAGTGTGGTAAGGGAGTGAGTGCACTTGATGCTACGTACCAGCCTTGCCGAACCAGGTGCTGGCGACGGCACCATCAGCGGCCAGAGCCACCACGAGGGTGGACAGCAGCGAGAACTTCATGCTTCAGTTGCTGTCGGGGTTGAGAGTAGTGTTGGAAGGGTGAAGCGGGTTGCAAGGTGGATGAGAGGAAGAAGATGGTGATGGAGGAAGAGGAATGTTGTTTGGGGTGATTGGGGTGATTGGGGAGAGTTTGCTCTTGGGTAAGCTCTCGCCATGAAAGCGTACGCTGACGTAGTTGTTACCGTGGGGATCTGCTTGAGGGCAAGCGGGAGCCAGCCAATCGGCGATGGCCAAGCAGAAGGCATGATGGATGATGGACCACCAAAGAAAACACAAGCCACACTGCGCTACCCACCCGACATCTCCACCAAGGAACTGACATCACGGAAATCAATCAAATTGACGCGTACGCCACAGCACATCACGCGAGCTCAGCATATGAATCCGTTTCGTCATGTCAGCGCTTCAGTGGCGCAGAGGATATCGTAGACTAGTAGTGTACAGGTGCAACAGAAGAGATTCGTGTCTGCCATCAAGGCGCCTAGCCTCACCGCGCTCTCAAACAGAGCCTTCAAATCCAGAATTGACGAGGACAATCGCGGCGAGCATCAAGATACTGTACTGGGTTACGCAGCCATCAACAGCAAGCCATTCGAGTCGCCTTACGGCTGCCTGTCTGCACCACCTTGACCTAAGTTACAGCACCAAGTCAGCCACGACTCAGTCACAATCCCCACTTCCCCTCAAAGATCAACATACCAGACCAGAATCCCTTTGGCACCTTGTCCTTTTCGGCGTCCTCGTTACTGATCTTTGTGTCGGCCCTCTCAGCACGCTGTTCCATTTCGCGGTTGTGTTGGGCCACCTCCTCGCTCTCTTCTTTGGGTGGGTTGGCGTTTAGGATCTTTGGTTGCGCACCTTTGACTTGCTGGGATTTGTTGCCGTGGCCGCTGCCTTCAGACTTGCTGGATCCCGTGTTGTGGCCGTCGGCGGTGCCCTTGGTCGGCGTGGTGCCGGTGCCTTGACCTGCGCTCGGCGGAGGAGGACCTGGGTGCTCCAGGTCTGACGACTTGCTTGGGCCTTGGTCTTGCGGGTTCTCGCCGACGGGGTCGCCTTTGCCGCTGCCGTAGTCGCCGGACGCGAAACCGCGGGAGGCCATGGGGAGGGTGGAGCGCGAGGTGGTGATGGAGGAGCGGGCCGCAGCGACGCGGAAGGTCGAGAATGGGCGCAGGAAGCTCATTGTGACGAGTGAAGGGGATGTGATGGGTAGGAAAGGATTACGGGAGGTGTTTGAGGTGGGTGATGGATTGGGAGTGTTCGGATTGGGTGTTGATTGGGAAAAGTCGAGCCGCATTCGCAGTGTAGAGCTTCATCTCACAGTGACGTCAAGAGCCATGACTGCGCTTGTGGTCAGTAAATGGCGCCCGAGCTCTGGCTTGCCGCGCCACAGAACGGTCTGGGGGTTCAAGGATAAGGCTGTGCCTGGGGATACTTTCTGCAAACACCAGATGAGATGCCGTGACACTCTACTGGAGAGTCCTCTGCCAGCATCATGTTCAGCGCAAGCAAGGCGCAGGAGCATTCCGTCTCTCCCCACCCAAGGCGGCGCTCCTTTCGGCATGCAGCCTCGCTCCAATCGGTTTGCATCCTCACACCGCCCGGACAGGCGTGATGGCCGCCAGCCCAGTCCATTGCCAACCCGCCACGCCAAACCTGTTGGCGCCTCCGTTGCCCAGCCGCCATAGCAAAGACGCTTGCTGGAGACTTTGCGTCCTCGCATGAAATGGACGACCACCCTCGTTCGAGGCGCAAGCACCACAGCGTGCGCTACGTGAGGGCGTCGTCAGCGCACATGGACGAGCCTGAGGTCGAGCGACTGAGACGAGCGAGAACGGAGTACTACAGCGTCCCGGCAGAGGAGCGACAACACAGAGATCCGGGCAGGCGGATGACACAAGAGACGGCGGTGCCTAGGCGACGAGCGACAACGACAGCGAGATCGAGCGGACGCAGACACTCTACCCGGGAACATCGTCGGTCGAGATACGCGGATGACGAACCGCGCAGGTCCTCTAGAAGAGAAGAGCCAGACGACGATGACGGGAGATATGTTTACACCACGGTAACCAGGGAGAAACATGGTGGTTCCAGGAGAACGTCACGGCAAGAGCTGGGCGCGAGTCGGACCACACTGGGCCGCAGTCCAAGAGATGGCAAGACTTTGTCACGCTCGGGGACGAGCAGGAGGAGTAGAGTCCTGTCTCCTGAAGCAGAACGGACCAGTCGAAGAAACAGAGTCCTGTCTCCTGAAGCAGAACGGACGAGTCGAAGAAGCAGAGTCCTGTCTCCGGCAACAGAACGGGCATCGAGATATGAGGATCGCGGTGAGCGAGACCTTGCTGCTTCGACTCAATCTGTTGAGCGAGCAGCGCGGCCCAAGGTGAAGAGGTTCGTCACGTTCCTGTAGTTATCGACGAAGACGACCAGGACTTACCATATCGCAGGACCACATCTCTACAGAGCTCCCGACCCGTCATAACCAGACCCTCAATCAGAAGAAGCACCACCATCAAACCCCGAGAA